GTAGGGATAGGGTAAGGGTTAGGGGTAGGGATAGGGTAAGGATTAGGGGTTGGGTCAGGGTTAGGGTTAGGGGTTGGGTTAGGGGAAGGGGAAGGGGAAGGGGAAGGGGAAGGGGTAATGGTTGGGGTAGGGATAGGGGAAGGGTTAGGGGTTGGGTCAGGGTCAGGGCTCTTCTTTATTGTGTTTGTTGGGGTGGTCACTCGTTATCGAAGTCCTTCCAAAGATAAGATAACAAATCAAGGCGCATCAATTTCTGCTATTATTGCCAGTTTGACATAACCGGGTGTTTGGCATCTTTTCTTGGCAACAAGTTTGTTTATGTTTTAACCCTTCCATCCCCAGCCATTTTTGAGCACTCCCTACCACCAGTCCCAGCCAATACTTGAATGCAGCAGTATTTCAGAAAAAGAGGCATGCATTCTAAAAAATAATGCAGTATCTTTGTAATGAGGTTTACGTAATAACATATAACAATGTTTAAAGGTAAATGAACAAATTTTATGAAAATCAAATTTTAGTTAGGTTTGTTAATTGGTGAAAAATGCTCATATTTGGTAAAAAAAACAACAACCCCGAAACAGAACATTCGCTCTTGGGACGGAGGGAGGTACAAGTGCTGCTGAAAATATTCGTGCATGGAGTTAGAAAAGGTTCTGTGTTGTGGACATTCTCAAGATGGAATATCTAAACTTATCTTGCGAGCCAGATCGAAAAAAAATTATCCGTTCCGGTCACCTGGCACAGTTCTACGTCAGGCCCAAGAAGTCCGTTGCAGTCCCTCTTCTGGCTGGGTGACCAGAAGGGGTATTTTGTACTGCTGGCTGTGTGACTGCAAGTGTTAATTGTTTGTCTGCAGGTCCGAGTTTGACAACTGTGCTCTCAAGGCAAGGTGCTTGGTCTCATTGTAAAGCATTTAATCTTATGAGTTCAAGCCCACATGGTCAGTAGACAACTATTGTGATCTTGACTAATTTCTTTAAAGACATTAAGAAAGATTAAAGCTAAGATGCTGAGAAAAATTTATCAACTGGTAGCAAATCTAAAGTAGTTCCTTTCTTTCTAAACTTTATCTGGAAACCCTGGACTAATTCAAGTGCATCGTGATTTCCAGGTCATGTCACATAATAAATAATACATTTCTCAAAAAAGTTAATTCTCTACTGAGATTTAAAGGATGCTACTCACCTCTCTCTCTGCCTTCGGCTTGATTAGGAGCACAATCTGCCTCCTCATCGCTGGAATCAGAGTCGCTGAAAGAAAAAAAATAGCAAAGATACTGTACACGCATGTGATATATATATATATATATTCGCTGAAAGAAAAAAAATAGCAAAGATGCTATGCACACATCTGTTTATATATATATATATATATATATATATATATATATATATATATATATATATATATATATATATATATAGATCTATATATTTATATTTATGTACTCATAAACCACCAAGGTGCAAGCAATGTCTTCTACATTTCTAGCATTGGTAGTATAATGTTCTGGCTGCAAAGGGACTCTAACGTCACAAACTGTTTTCTGCTTTCTTGTTTCAAGGTACCAAAAAAAAGTTCTTTTTAACTGCTAAAATATTGCTACCCAACTTCAGCATGGGAATGTTCAAATTTCTACGGGAATTAAAAGTCTTATTTTTAAACTTACGTGCTGTGACGTACTTGACACTAATCCAGCAGCAAATATAGAGAAAATTATAAGGTACAGCAAGATGGTCATGCTGAAATATTTCTTTTAAAATCCTAAACCTTACCTGACGCTCATTCCTCTATCAAACTCGTCATCCGACACACACTCATATTCAACATCAGGCACAGCTAAAATGTAGTCCGATGCAAACTCCATTATTGTATCTTTTTTGAAAGATCTGAAAGAACAAAAGGGGAGACATTCCGTAATGAGCAGCCACTGTGAAATAGATAAGCGTATAGAATAGAGGGTTATTTAGGGTTAGGACTGTACGGTTAGGGTTTGGGTTAGGCTTTGAGCTTGGGTTAGGGTTAGGGGTAGGGTCAGGGTTAGGGTTAGGTCTCTTCTTTATTGTGTTTGTTGGGGTGGTCGCTTGTTACGGAAGACTTTCCAACTAAAGCATTTCTTACCATTTATTTACTTTTTATTTCAATACGAGCACTTGCCATGAAGTTCATGTTGGTTGATAAAGGTCTGCCATAAAACAAGAGAACAACAGGTTATGCAAAGATCTTTTGAATGTAAAACCACCTTTAGAAAAGTTTAGATGAAGATAGTTCAGTCAGGCACTCGTCTGACAAATTTTAATCTGATAGGAACAATAAACTTGGTGCTCAAAGTATCCAGATCTAAAACCTAGTTCAGTTTAGGGTGAATATAGCAAGCTCTTTGCTGAAATTTAAAAAATGAAAACAAATTTTCTTATGTTGTGCTCCAAGAAGTAACAACAGTCACAGCAGTCAATTGTGGGATCTTGTTTCCCTGTTTTAAACATCCCCTTGTTTTTCATTTGAATGGACAATGAGCAATGAATTCTAGTGTGGCGCACTTCTCGAGAGTATAAATAGATAATGATATTCGGACAAAATTTGATACTCGCTTCTCTTTCTATCTGTCTATTTATCCATCTACCAAAAGTTTGTGAGAATCTGTCCGCTTGTTGACTGATATATATTTATAGGCCTACAGTATAACATAACATGGATAGGTTGAACACAGAAGACTGGAAATCACGCATCTGTCAAACTGTGCCTGCAGCGCCCTGCGGTCTCGTTTTTTTCTTCTTCTTTATCTTTGTAAGATATCCCTCGAACTACGGATCCCTCGAACTACCAAGGCCGGTCATGACAAATTCGAGCTATCCGCGTACTGTATATCTCCTTAGCTGTAATCCATCATTAGTTCGCTTGATGGACACCAATATTGAAAGGATGGTTCCCTCTAAGGATCGTGAGAGAGATTCTCTCAAACAGTCATTTTGTTTCCCTGGGATCTCCAGCAGCATTTGCCAACCGATAGCCGACTTTGTGAAGGAACTGGGTTGTCAGGGAGATAGGGATGCTGGACTTTTCTAAGGCGACCTTGACAAAATTTTGGAAGTCAGTGAGACCAGCAAATTTTCTGATTTTGGCTTCTTATTTTGCTTTCTTTGGAATACTGCCAGTGGTGGAAGCTGAGGAGGTGACTGACGACAAGGACGAATTTAAGAACACTACGGCGTCCCATCCAAGGCATTTAATTGCCATCCTTGATCAGATTAAGAAGGTGTAATACCATAATATGGACTTTTTCTGTCCTCTGTTCAAAGCTGGAGGTTTTGAGGATGTGATGTAAGCCGACTGCATCGAGCTCTTGCTTTGGAAGGAGTTCTGCAGAGGGCCGGCCGGCAGACCAACAACACACAAAAGAGGGGATATTTTAAGCGGGGTATACCCTACCCTAACCCTTGTACAGTTCGCACAGTGGACCTTGTCACAGTACGTAAGTGCCAGCCCTCTGCAGAACTCCTCCCCTTGCTTCACTATGATGTTGAGGGCCTTCAGCAGATGAACCCCACTTCGAAGACATAACAGTGGATGTTGGCTCGGCGAAGAAACAAAATAAACATACAGTAGAACATGGCTATAGCGGCACCCGCTACAGGGGGAACATCCCTACAGCGGGACCTTATCTGAACCCCCATTTTTTATCAGATGTAAACTCAATTACCTGTGCTTGGATTTAATGGGATAAGGAAAGGCTGAACTCAGAAACAGCGCGAGAGATCGAGCAAGGTTTAGCTAGGGGGAGCACTGTAGGCGGGCTAGGCAGTCAGCAGTGCAGCGTAGTGATTGGCCAGTCCAGTGATGAGTGAGGTGGGGCAGGCGGCAGAGAGAGATGGTGTGGAGAGACGCATTATGTGAGCCACTCCAAAAGTGATGTGCTGTAGCTTAGACGCTCAGTATGAGAGCGTATAGGTCATAGCTCTAGGCTAGACCAAAAGTAAAAGAAGAGGAGAGCTTGTTGTGTGTGATTCCTGATTAATTGAATTGCAATCGTTGATGCTCTTAGGCATACGCACGCATCCGCTTCACCAGTTCTACAGTAGGCCTACTGCTACGATAGACAGTACCCGAGGAAAAGATGGCTTCCAACAAAGACAAAAGGAAATGCTTCTCACTCGAATCAAAAGCTGAGATAATTACCAAGTTGACAAGAAAAGGAAGACTAATCTAAAGCACAAGTTTTATTGATGTGGAAGGCAGGTAATCATGTGGATTTTAAGAAATTTTTCGATAATTTCCCCTTTGCATTCCTATAGCGGGAACTTGCCTACAGCAGGATTTTTCTTCAGGAACCAAAAGTCCCGCCTTCGCCGTGTTCTACTTGCAGAAATAAACAAATGCCCAATCATATTACAAGTAAGGTTAAGAATGTAAGTTCATTTAATAAAACTGCGGTGCCACTTTATTTTAATCATTCTAGAATCTAGACTAGATCTAGACTACTAGAAGTTTTATGAATTCCTCCTTACTTGAACTTTAAGCACCACCAGTGCAAATGCATCTGTTGTGCAAGACTAGTTTGTCTGGAAGACTTCGGATACGATGTAGATTTTAGAAACGGAGATTGTCGTGAACACACGGACTTCAGTTAATAATATATAATTTATCATTTCCATTACATTAAAATTAAACTTCCAAGTCCAGGAAATATCTTACCAAAACGACAAAATGTTGCTGTTGTCCGAATGCTCGTCTCGGCGTTTTCAGACAGCTCAAAAGCAATACAAGCACCACGCCGCGAGAAATTGTACTAAAAGTGAGTAGTTAGCACTTGTTGTTCTTGTTGTTTTCATTGAGACCCTTCTTACTAGTGTTACTATTTTTACATTTTGTGTTGTGGGGAAATTGTCCCTTCCCAAAGTAGCAACTTTCGAAACTTCCTGTCTAGTGTCTAGATAAACGGTGCTCATACTGTTTTATTATCCCCAACACCATAATACCTGGACATTGTGCTGTAGTTGTATCACAAGAATTTTTTAAAGACTAGCTGTTAAAAACAAGTCAAATACTAAATACTACAAAATTGACCCATTGTGATATAGTTCGAAGAAAAATATCCATACATCTCATAAACTAATACTTTTCGGTGGATATATATAAAGTCAAAGTCCGTGCAAAGCAGAAAGACTAAGAATGACCCCCCCCCCCACAAAAACTTTAGATATCATGATACTGTTATGTCTGATTATAAGACAGGTCCATGAATAAAAAAAACAAACATTTTCCCTGATTCCATTTTGTCTATTTAACAATTAATGTGTCTTCAATCTGGCAGCCTTAATGGGTTTTGTTCACCAACAAATATACATTTTTCAGAGATTTGTTCTGTGAATAAGTGGGTAAGTGAGTAAATGGATGGATGAGAGTTGACTTTGACTAATCCCCGCGCCCCCTCCTCAACCAACTCCCAAACCAGGCATAGGCGTAGGATATAGATATACCACTAAAAAGTACCTATCGCCAGTATTGGCAGCAAATTGGTCACAAACTGTGAGGTTTCGAAGCTCCCCTGACCGTGGATACTGAAAGCTTTTGCTTGCTCATTAAAAAAACAGTACAGTGTGTATAAATTAATATATCGCGATTTCCGTTTATTTAGGAAAAAATATTGAGGTGTTCAATGAAACACTGACACCGTTTACACGGTGATGCATTCGAGGTAAAATCCGATATCAACGGGGAATCGAGCAATAGATTCTACTCGTCTATTGACGATAGTATTGAACTCTTGATAAATCGAATTAGGTAATTTGTTGTCTATGGACGTGGGCTCACGAGATAGTTCCCTGTCTTTTTTTTTAATCGTAAGAGCAAGACACGTACTAGTGTACTATTCACGATGTCGCCATCGACATCGAAAATAATAATGACAATGACAGTGACAATTTTTATATATATTCATCTCGCAGGGAAACATTTGTCTTGGTCGTTTACAATGGCAGTGGATGATACAAAGGTTAGGTCACTCACGTATACGCACAACAAAATACATGTCTCGCGTGCTGAAACAACCCCCCCC